TTTGAAAGCGAAGAGGAATGTTAAGGATAAGAATCTTTGAGGTTACTTTTGACAAATTCAATATAATCAGAATTTGTGGCTAAATAACAATATCATCTGAAAACGACAATAATAATTACTTCTAAAATTAATATTCTGCGAGTAACATATTCACACACATACCGCAGCAGTGTGAATACAATTCTGTCCCAAGGCCATTTGCGCGTAAGCTCACTATCTATACCCGTCAGCTAATTTGCACTTCATTGCTGGATTTTAAAGTCAGTTACGTAAATGTTATAACAGTAACGAAACACGTAAGACTATAAATTAAACTGAAAGAAGTGTTAACTCCTGTAATCTCTGGCTAATGCATGCCGAGGAAACATAAACCAGTGTTAATGAAAGTCTGAGCAGTAGGAAAGAGGTTTTAGGAGTTCCCATGGAATTTATTCTATGCATTTCGTGTGGAGCACGCGTGAAACACTGTGTGCAATTACAGTATAATTATAATGCTACAGCAACTGAAGTGAAGTGAAAGCGAAAGAGTGAGTCCTCGTGTCACCCGAATATGTAACCGAATCATACAGAAAGCAGCGAGCAAAGTGAAGAAAATAACTATAAATTCCCTTCCACTTTGTGGAGGCAACCTTACAGGAGAGAAGTCCGATATGAGAATGTTTCAAATTCCAAAGGGCTTATGACTACTGCTGGTATGTTGAAAGTGGAGTACAGTAATTTTCTAATGCTGACGTAGCAGTCTGCTATTTGATGACGATACAGAACGTAATTTTATGGGAAAAAAGGTAAAATTGTCCCTGTACTTAATTAATTAAACACTACGCCATGAAGTCGTATCGGGGAGTCGATTATGGGTCCACCTTTTCTTGACCTCGGCAATAGTTAGAGGTCAGCTTCACGCCCCGGCCGCTTTACCCCACGTGATTTTGTGGTATAAATTTAAAACATGTTAATTGCATAAGGCAAAAGTTTTAGCGTGTTCAGCTGCGGATTTGACGTTAAATGCACCCCAGTGGCGTAGTCATAAGCAAACAAATATTGGAGGGACACACAAGCGAACAGAAGAATAAAGGAAATCTGTAACTGGTTTCTCTTTCCTTCCTCAGACACCGGCCCGTGTGCATGTGACTGAATATACCAGTCTCAAGTATGGTACAACAATACTCGTAGCTCTGGAAACCTCCGACATATTCTTCCACTTCGGTGGATGCGGTTTCTCAGGGGAACCTAACATCTGTGCTTTGTGGTTAGCGCCGAATAAAGGAGGCTAAAGGGAATACAAGCCGGTCACGGTAGCCGAGCGGTCTAAGGCAGGCATGCACTGTCTTCGCTCGCTTGGAAACCGGGATCGTGGGTTCGAATCCCACTAAGGGCATGGATGTTTAGTTTGTGTGTGTGCGTTTTTCTGTGTTTGTGTACAGGTAGAGGCCTTGCGAGGAGCTGATCACCCGCCCAAGGAGTCCTACCGAATGTGTAAGATCTAGAAAAACCGAAGTGAACGGAGAAGTTCATGGAGTTAGGCCTAGGCCCACTGGGGCTGTAGTGCCAAGGGGGGGTGGGGGGAAGGAATACAAGCCTATCAGCATTGCCGAGCGGTCTAAGACATGAAAGGTCTTCGTCAGCTCGAACAGTGGGATCGTGGGTTCCAATTCAACTTAAGGCATGGATGTCTGTCTATGTTTATTTTGTGATTGTGCTAGCTACCTGCCTTGTGACGGTCTGCTGCCCAGCCCAAGGTGTCCTGAGTGTCTTAGATCAAGAAACTGAAGTGAAACGAAGCGTGTCACGGATGCCCTGTGCTGCAAGGAGGACGAGTAAAGGGAATACAAAGAGTTTTCGTCTCATGGAGAGAGGACGTGCGTGTGGCCGCCTGCGTAGAGATGACGCTCGGTAGATAAAATTTTAATTTTTTATTAAGATGGCAAATGGTTTGCACCCGCAAAAGGCAAGTCTGCATTTAATGTTGACTGACATTTTCATAATATTCACATAAAACTTTAAAATATTTAGGAACGTTAGGCCTATGGCATCATACCAATAATAACTCTCATTAACGCCACACTCTCAACCGTCTACTGAATCCGTGGATGCTGCTTCTATGCGAAAGAGCTGACTTGCATTTCTCGTTCGTTCGCGTGAAAATCTGAGATGCATTTTTTGCTACGTATTGGGCACCTTCAGTGTCCACAACGTTCTGTTATAACACGATCCATAACTCATTTGTTTTATCTCCTGTCTTGTTATTTCTATCGCTGATCTAACAAACCTAATTTCTGCTGCCTACATTCTAGATTTGCCGGTCACGGTAGCCGAGCGGTCTAAGGCATGCACTGTCTTCGCTCGCTCGGAAGACGGGATCGTGAGTTTGAATCCCACTCAGGACATGGATGCGTAGTGTTTATGTGTGTGCACAGGTAGAAGCCTTGCGACGAGCTGATCACCCGCCCAAAGACTCCACCCTACTACTAAGATCTAGTAAACCGAAGTGAACGGAGAGTTTCATGGAGGTAGGCCAAGGCCCAAATTGGGGCTGTAGCGCCAAAGGGGAAAAATATTCTAGATTTATTCCGCTTTATCATGAACCAAGCCTCGTACTCATGTAGTAGAAATGTTACTGTCATTCTAATGTATAGTTTCATATTGTCACGACTTAATGGTTGGACCACAGGCGGGTGTTGGATTGGTAAATTGGATTTACTGACTAACTACTTGTATATACCACTCCGAACTACAAGTAATTATAATACTTTGCTGATTCTCACAGTGCAAGTCACTAGCACATGCTATCTTTTTTTTTTAGTCTTCACTAGTTGTTGCTAGGTAACAGCTCTCAACAATGACTATTCCTCTGCGATGTTTCCACTAGACGTTTCCTGGTAATGAGTGGAGATTCTTCAACTTCCGTGGTCATGCCGTTGACGGCTGGTTAACACTCCACACCTGAACTCATAGCGCCATCTTCTGAGCTTCCTTGCAGAGCCCGGCTATCGACTAACTGCTCACTTGGAACCACGGAACTCTCCTGCCAATTCTCCACTGATCTTTTCTTTATAACCACTTTACACGGATCGAATATAAAACACTGTTTCCAACAATACCCCTATTGTTATAAATGTGTTTACCGAACCGTTGCTTAGCAATAGATCGGACATCGTTTCCGCGGGAACTCGTTTACCGAGCCGTTACCACGCAACACATGTTCCTTCTCACGATCGTTGAATAACAACCGTATTACAAAGTTACAACATGATAGTTCATGTTGTTTTGGACTATTCACAAGAGACACTCAGCTGCAAAGTTAATATTAAAAATGCACTGTCGGTCTGTCCTTCTTCCTCTCATTCAATGAATCATAATTTTACGTTGTAAAAACTCCGTGGCTTTTAGTCCGCAAGCGAACTCTACCGACCCTGCGACCGCCGCTTGTATGTGAAGTTAGCGACAAATAAGCTTACAATTTGTTACAAGCATTAGCACATAAGCATAACTACTTGTACTTCTAGTCTGGGTGGAATAAATCCTATGTGATTTCAATCTTAGGAACCCTGTATCACCGAACAACTTAGAACTGTTTTAAAACGAAGAATTTCTTCACTTCATTCCGTGGTATAAAATATATTCCTTCCAGATCATAAATGTTTTCTTCTAACTGTAGAGGAATTAGGTCTACTGCGATATATCGCACGCAATGATTATCGAGTGTTGAGTAAAAAAAAGTAAAGGTATCCCTGTACCAGGCCGTGAAGGCCCATAGGGTTGTGAGACGTTGAGGGTCCCACATTATCTAGACAATGGGCTCAAAGATGGCGGTAAGGTTGTCAGTCTTACGCGCCGGCCGCACTTTACTCCCCAGGAAAATTATTTAATTCATTCCTGGTACTAATTTCTGTTAGAGGCTGAGTCGACCCCAGGGCCATAGTGTGGCTGGAAGGATTAGGTGAACTGAAAAAAATCTAATGACCTCATCGGGACTTGAACCCGGGACCTTCCGGCTTGTACCATAGGGCCTCAACCAACTACGCCACCGCGTGCCCCCTCGTCCAGTGTTGAGGCAACATTTATCTGTCAACTTATTCGAATGTAGAATGGAATTCGATAATAATTTTTTTCAGCCTAGGGTATCGCAGAACGGATATGAGTATTTGAAAACTTGGTTGGCGAGAGCTGGGAAGAAAAGGTACTGCTTTTGGTCTTTCCTACATGCCTCAACCATTTCAATTCATAATTCCTCATTACTCCTTAACTAACTTTAATATGTTCTCATTCATTTTCTTATGTTTTGATTGAGTCTGCATATGGCTACATCTGACAATAGAAAATTCTCTGTTCCTTTTCTGCATTTTACAATTGCTTTTAAGCAAAGTCCAGGAATCTTTATTTTCATTTTCAGAATTTTTATTGTCGGAATTTAAGAAAAGTTCCTTTCAGTATCTTCCCAAGAAAAAAAAATTCTCTTATTTTTCCACATTCATCTTCGGAGCTCTGTAACGTCACATTAGCATGACAATACATTGCAGTTATACTAAAATGAAACAAAAGTGCACCGAACGTGGCGCCCGATTGAGTAGGTCCCAGCACTTCCACTCCTTACCCAGAAGGTCCTAGGGTTTAAATTTGGTTAGGAGATCGCCTATTGGACAAAGCATTACACTCAGCTCAGCTACAGGAGGGCAAGAAGCTGTAGCGTCACTGCGGCTGCGCAACTGGAGGGAAATATTGACCTTTAAACGCATCAGATTTATGCTGTAATATGAGTGACGCAGGACATTGGTTGTGACGCCACTAACCTTTCTGCTGAAACTGATTGAGTACAGGTGCCACAGCGGTCCGCGCCGAACACGCAGCTGTTATCAAATTACATCCTCTCCCCTGAGGGTAGCCTCGGCCAAGAACCCCAATAAAATAATAAGAATGTAAGTTCGTACGCTATTTCAGACGCACTACAAATACTGGCTACTTTTTCATTCATGCACGTGGCTATGAAAATGATTTGACCCTACCTTGAGCCAGTCCCGGAGCCATATGACTTCAGGTTTGGGGTCACCGACGACCTCGCACAGGATAATGACCGTGTCGCCTTCAACAGCTTCAGTTGACCTCGGTTTAGTCACGAACAATGGCACCTTGGAGTATCTGAAACAAGAATGGGGAGCTCTTGCACTACAGATACTGAATCAGCTGACTACAAAACCGTTACACAAGGTAATTTCACTCTTATTTTGTGGACTTCAACTTCACTCGAACTTTGAGGCATTTTACTTCAATGTCAATTGCAATTCATGTCCTCGGGCTTCTCTCTTATAGCTCAAAATTCGATGCCATGTAAATGCAAGATTGCTTAAGGGACGTGTGTGGGAAGGAACACTGAACACGTGCAGCGTAAAATGTGCGCTGAGCCCTTCGAAACATGCTCCCGAGCTGCCAGCAGCTGGGACAGCCTAAATGGACGAACATTAACATTCACGACCAACTGTTTCAGCTGTGTACAACCAATACATGTAGCCTGTGTAATTATTGTCCTGAGGTTTCGCTGCTGCGCTCTAATGTGTAACTTCGAATTTAGAGAATATGAGACATCAAATGTGAATTGAACATTGGATGCGGCATTTTATCGAAAGTTAAATCTATGCTGTATGTTCTGCATTTACAAATTCAACGTCTGACGGACGTCAGTTGATTCAAGCGATCACTCAGTTGCTGACGTAGATGGTTAAGTTTCTTTAACATGAATGTCCGTGCAACCTGGATGTATTCTGATCGTGTCAACAAGAAGATTCATATTCATTCAACTGCCCACAAGTTCTAATTAAATCTATCCTGTCGGGTTGCCTCGATTTCTTGCATTAAGAGCGAGTAGACCTACCACATCTTTAAATTCTAATTTTATTATCCTGCATGACACTAGATGAGGTCAGATCAGTCAGGATTTCGTCCTTCGTCGTTGCAGTTAAATTACGATACATGAAAATTTCACATAATCAACCAAATGTGTTTCACAGGTTTTTCCTGCCTCGTATTCAGGCACTCTCGAGTGATAATAAGGATCGAGAGATCGACTATACTCACTGGAACCTTTCCTTACTCTTATCTGATTCCCTCCTTCGCCTGTTTATGTTAGACAGACTGTCTGCTTCTAATTATAGTCCATATTTCAAATTCATTATTTATAACGCGTAATACATGGCTTATCAGCTGAAAGCGTGGTTAACCCATGAAGCCTGAAGTGACTCTAAATAATATTAGAAACTTCAGCTTCTATCTCATAGAAAACACATTGTGTCCTCATTAAAACTCCATCAGGCTAGTGTCATTTCCGGAAATAATGGATGTTTATTGTGATAATCGCATCAACCCCATAAATACAGTCTGGTGAAAATTTAGTTTCTAAATATTAACGTAGGTACTACTTGTACATGTGGTTACCCCTGTCAAACGTGCCACGAATCCAAGAGTTCAGTCGAGTTCGCCTGCAATATTGGTTTGCCTGTCTAAACTATCTGCGAGGGTACGTCACGCCTCAACTAGGCAACCTTACACAAGAAAAGACCTGTGTGTTGAGCGGCATTTCCGGTATGGAAATCTTGGTTCCTTTCATATGTTAAGAATTCAACCTAGCAACTTTCTAATGATGACGTAACGATTTACATGATCTCGATGATGGTTCTGGCACTGTCAGCGAAGGACTTTCTGCACCGCCGTACAGTACTTACGGGATCTCGGGTCCAATTACAGTGGGCAGCTTGGCGATGGGCGGGGCATCCGTCACTTGTACGCTCACTCGTGTTGAGGTCTCGGCGCGACCAACCTCATTCGTCGCCGTGCAGCTGTAGACGCCGGCGTCGCGAGCCGAGATTCCAGCCAGTGCTAGCTCGACGGTGCCGTCGTGATTTAAAGTCATCACAATGCGACGACTTGGGCGCAGACGCACTCCATCGCGGTGCCTGTTGTAGAGAACGCCATGACTGTAGCAAGATGACGTTCAAAATAAAACGGAAACATGTGCTGCAAGAAATATGCATAAGACCTGTAACACTGCTCTTTAGTGAGATGCAGACCGTTCGTGTATGTCAAGCCTGACCCTGGGTAAGGCTCCATGGACTTAATAAATCAGTCAGTCAGTTAGTCAGTCCGTCCGTCCGTCCGTCCGTCCATACATTCATTTATCCATATATTTGTCTGTCTGTCTGTCTGTCGGTCTATCTATGGCTCTACAGCCCTTCGGACCTCGGCCGGTTTTTCAGTTTCTTAATCTATACACAGTTGGTTGTACTCCTTGGACGGGGGATCAGCCCGTCGCAACCTACACAGAGAACAACACAAACATGGAATAAACGCACGCAGACATCCATGCCTCGAGTGAGATTCGAACCCGATGATCCCAGTGTTCGGTCGGGCGAAGACATTTCACGCCTTACCGCGCGGCCACTTGAGTATATACCCATAAGTTATGTGGTTGCGCCGGTCATGGTACCGAGCGGTCTAAAAGGCATGCACTGTTTTCGCTCGCTCGGAAGCCGGGGTCGTGGGCATGGATGTTTTGTGTTTATTGGTTTCTTTGTTTGTTTGTGTGTGTGCGTGCGTGCGTTTTCCCGTGTTTGTGTACAGGTAGAGGCCTTGCGACGAACTAATCACCCGCTCAAGGAGTCCTGCCGAACGTATAAGATCTAGCAAACCGAAGTGAAACGGAGAGTTTCATAGAGGTAGGCCAAGGCCCAAATGAGGGCTGTAGCGCCAAAGAAAAAAAACAGTCGTTGACTTTGCCGCGAATGTTCAGAAACGTAACAAGAATCAAACAATTATGAATAACAGTAAATTACGGGAGCCTGACTTGAAATATCACGCGATAGACCTACTTGCTTTTCCTGGCTACACTCAATAACTTTACTTTGGCTATATAATAACTCAGACTAAAATGGCTTCTACTGGGTCTTAAATTCAAGAACCTGTGACCATGTGACACGTACGATGCGAATTCCTGGAAACGGGCCAGAAGAGACAAGTATTTTCACCAGGCACAGTGCCATGTCATGGAGCCAGTGTTAGCCTTGCTTCATAATGAAAACGTTTATTTATCTTACATGTCTGTCTGTCTGTCTTCATAGTAACCTTTTAACCAGTGAATGGAGGTCCATCACATTGGAGGTCATACCAGACATGTTTTCAGAAGCCCGAAAATAAATTAACACAAAGACTGTGTCAAAATGAAATTCAGTTTCTATTATTTGAGTCGATTGCAGGAAGTTTGCAAAATCACTGTCGCCCCGTCACACCACGTCCCCCATCCTGGGGTCCGCACTATATGCAGCAGAAGGCCGTGTCATAGCTTAGGCTGTTAGTCTCCACCTACTCATCGGAGAGTCCCGAGTTTAACCCTTGGAGAAACCATGTGGGATCCATAGTAGGCAAAGCTGCACTGGGGAATGATTTCAGATTACTTCGGTCTTCCCCTGCCACTTATAATCCCATCAATGCTCCAGTCTCTCAAATCTGATTTGGGGCTGGTAGAATAAATCAATTTTCCGCCCTCTTTTCTCAAAGGGTTCAGCCTCACCTCACCACAGAAAACAAAAAGATAACGGATAGGAACGTAAAGGCTGAGTTCTTAGATCCAATTAGGAGCATGCATTGTACAGTTTACATGCTATAGCATTCTTTTGGTTCGTATGAGCCAGGCCAGGAAAATTCACCGCCTGACTACACAACAAAAACGACGCTTTTGTGCATGCGTTGTCATGAGGAAGACTGGTTACTGCCAGGTGACGCGTTTCCATTTCTATACGACCTAACTTATGGACCAGTGTACGCCACAGGTGAAGTCTCTAACTTCAGCCCGCAGATACATAGTGAGAGAATACTCTCAACACGACTTGCAATAAGGAGTAGGCCTCTACCTGTGGGTACAAGACCAAGCTGTGACGTACGAGTACTCACTAGATCACGCCCAATGCCGTGAATACCTCCACTTGTGTCCGTACTCGTGGAGTGCTCACCACATGACTCCCAGTGAAGTAAACATTTTCTTCACTTCTAGCCCTAGCTCCCAGGACGTGGAGTACTCACCACATAACGCCCACTGTGTGATAGGCCTCCACTTCTACCCCTAACTGCGAGGACGTGGGGTACTCACAAAATGAAGCCCACTGAAGTGAAGACCTCCACTTCCACCCCTAATTCCGAGGCCGTGGAGTACTCACCACATAACGCCCACTGTGGGATAGGCCTCCACTTCTATCCCTAACTCCGAGGACGTGGGGTACTCACAAAATGAAGCCCACTGAAGTGAAGACCTCCACTTCCACCCCTAACTCCGAGGGCGGGGTGTACTCACCACATAACGCCCACTGTGGGATAGGCCTCCACTTGGGCCGACAGTCGCAATTCGCCCCCCTCGCGGACGCTGTGCTCTGGGTCCAGCTCGAATAGAAACTCCGGAGCGACGTATGCACGGATGCCCTTGTCCACCACCAGATGACAACGGCATGACACGGCGCCATTGGTGTTCCGCGCGGTAGCCGAGTAGCAGCCGGAGTCCTCCAGTCTGGTGTGACTCATCTCTAGCGTGTGGAAGTTCTCCTCGCTCCAGAAAACGTGGTGATCTGCAACAAACGTATGTTTCGCGATGCCTCAAGTAAATGCCGTGCCATAGCTCAGGCGGTTACTCGCATGCTTTCCACCGCGGCGGCCCGGGTTCGAGCTCAGGTCAGGTCATGTGGGATTTGTGGTGGACAAAATTGCACTGGGGCAGGTTTTCTCCAAGCACTTTCGTTTCCCCTGCCAATTTTCATTCCACCGACTGCTCAACATTCATCATCATCTATCATCCGTACAATGGGCCAATTGGTGGCCGAAGTACCAAGTACTGTCTCACCCCAACGCAAGAAACTAAAAGAAAAATGATAAGTTGTAAAGTTCAACTTTACGTTATACATTAAAAGTGCAAAAGAAATTCGCTCGTGTTTAGGGTTCATAACATTCTTTCGGCAAGCGTTTTCAACGAATTTCGGAATTAGGTATATTAATGAAAGTTCTAAATATTATCCTGGAGATCCCACAATCATGCAAGCCTTCCAGTGTCTTATCTTAAATTATCTTTTGGGACAGATCACCTTGCAGTCCTGTGAAAGTTAACTCACGTTTCGGAAAACATGTCGCCTCTACATTCTAGGCTGAAGAATAAGCGAAGACAGAAACGAGCACGAAGCAGACAACAAACACTTGTTGATGGCCTAAACGTCTTCAACAAGTGGAGATGCCGTGACATTTTATTTACGTAAGGATTTGAAAATTTTCAGAAGTACTTATCTAGAAACGATCTTCGAAATTTTCACTTACTGCTACTCAAAATGGCGACTGTAATTTTAAAACGTGTGGTAAATATGAGATCAATGTTAAAGTACCCAAATTAAGACTTTAATTGGATCACAGAAGAAATATCCTATACGACATGCAGACATCTCTGTTGTCCAAACTCCCAACTAGAAATATTCCTTATTAAAGTTTCTAAGTGTTCAGTTCTTCTCTGATGCTTATTGTTTTCTTAATCTTAATGTTTTATTCAATGTTTCTGCGTTTATCATGCGTTCCAGAACAATAACTAAGCAGTTTAAGCAAGACCTGTGCTCACTTACGGCCTTCGCAATTAGTTAATTACTGTGTCGTCTTGTATGTACGGGTGTAACTAATAGCTGAACGCGGAGCAGTTTCTATACTGCCACGACATCTATAGCTATATCAGAAACGCTATAGTTTCGAGGGCTCTGATGGTGAAGACACCATGATCACCCGGAGCGCCGGCAAAGTAGCCCACTTAGGTCTAGCTGTAACTGAAACAATAATATGAGTAGCTTATAGCTCTTAAATAAAAAGAACACGCCCAAAAATATTATGAAGTTGACCTTACACAGGAAACGGTCAAGTTATGGCACCTCATTACCACGGTAATAAAATTTCCCATTCAGTAAAATATAGGAAATATCCTGACCAGCTGCATGAGTCTCCTTCGCAGGTAGGACTCCGGTCCATGCAGTGAGTGAGTCAGTCACACTGCTCTTCTGTCTTAGATCGAAATATTCTCCTCAGTATTCGGTGTTCAATTAAAATGTAAACAGGCCGTGAAGGATAGTTACTATAGGATTCTGACGATGGTGTATAACACACTGATATATTGGGTTTCTGGACTTTATCCATCGTCCTGGTTTTTAAGATAACAAACAAATGTGTTTGCAACAATTTGTTATGAAAATTTTTACTTATTAGCTCTCATGGACTTGGCCTGGTCTCAGGTGTTTATAATCTTCATGTTTTGTGACACTGGTTTGTCCAGTGATTGAGGCTAGCTCTTTCTAACGGACCCAACAGAATAGGTGTTTCCCCTTTTCCTTCACCTGAGGACGGAAACAGATCCAGTTTCCGAAACGTCGTGTTTTTATTTGTTATCTTAAAAACCAGGACGATGGATAAAGTCCAGAAACCCAATATATCAAGGCCGTGAAGGCCCATAGGGTATGAGACGTCGAGGCTCCCACATTTTCTTTAGACAATCGGCTCACAGATGGCGGTGAGGTTGTCAGCCTCACGCGCCGGCCGCCCTTTACCCCCAGGAAGATTCCTGATACTCCTTTCTGTTAGAGGCTGAGTGAACCGAGGGTCATAATGCGGCTGGAAGGATTAGGTAAACTGAAAAGAATCACCTCATCAGGAGTGGAACCCGCGACTTTCCGGCTACTTTCAATTTGAATTTCTATGTGAGAGTAAGACCAGTTCTTCTGATTAACAAGCAGTGAACATGGTTTCAGGTGCTGTCATACCGTCTTGTTTGAGCGCCTCTCCGTCCTTGCTCCAGGTGAGTTCTGGCGCTGGGCGTCCAACGACCTGGCAAGTCAGCCTTACCGGGTACGTCATCTGTACACGGCGGTCACGGAGACGCATAGTGAACTGTGGTGGCGTGTCGGCGTCTGGCTCCTGGTCGTCCTGGATTCCACTACAACACAGCAATACCACGTCAACTGACCCGTTGTATTCGGTTGATTTCACGGTGCCTACTTACTGTGCAGGTTACACTGTAAATAATGAACTGACGATGATATAAAAGGAAGTGCTTGTGGCTTATCTCAACTGCTTGAAGGAAACACACATTAAATTTTGCAAAGCTATGCTACAACACTACACGCAGCTCTGAAACATTGGCAAAGACAAAAACAGCACAACAGAAACACCAAAAATGAGATTTCTTAGGAAGATGGCGGGATACGCATTAGAGAGGAAAATTATAAATATTGATTAAAGACAAACTAAATATCATCATCATCATTATCATCATCATCATCATCATCAGTAATCTGTCAGACGACAGGTCCACAGTCTCTTCCAAAACAATTCCTCTACTTAATGCGATCTAGAGCTTTCTCCTTCAAATGACAGTATCCTCTTCTGTCCCCAAGGTCATCCAGCATCTTCTTACGTCTTCTTGCTCGTCTTCTTGTCACTTCTATCCGCCCATCTATCTTTCCTTCGATAACTTCTTTTAGAAGGCAGTTTCTGCGTAAAACATGACCAATCCAATTAGCCTTCCGTTTTCTTATTTCGTGTAGGATATTCCTCTGCTCACTGACTCTAATTAACACTTCTTCATTTCTCACATAATCGGTCCAACTGATCTTCTCCATTCTTCTCCAACACCACATTTCGAAGCTTTCCAGATGTTTCTGATCTACTGCCCTAAGTGTCCATGTTTCAGCCCCATACAGAGCTATGCTCCAAATGTAGCATTTCACTAGTTTCTTCCTCTAATTTAAGTCCAATTTGCTGGTAAAAAGATTCTTCTTCTTGTTAAATGCAGCCTTTGCCATGGCAATACTGGATCTAATTTTCATTAGTACACCTTCCATCATCTGTTAATAAGCTACCCAAATATTTAAAACATTTCACATTCTCCAGTTGTTTTTGGTCTATCTTTATTGTAACTGGGGTTGGTTGTCTCGAAATATTCAATACTTTTGTTTTCTTCACATTCATTTCCATGCCATAGCACCTTCCAATTTCGATTAGTCTATCAATCATGCCCTGTAGCACAGTTTCTTCCTTAGCCATTAACACAAGGTCATGTGCATATTTCACAGTTTCAATAATTTGCCCTCCTAATTTGAAGTCTCCGAGTTCATCGGAAACTAAATATATTCAATATAAATAATACTGTGACGCGTATATCCATTGCCAGGTAACGGGTCGGTGAACACATTCCCGCAACACATTCGCACACGACAATAGGACATCCACTGATACGTAACAGAACAGTACACACGCATCCTTAACAACAGAAGACGGTGTTTTCTGTGGCGTCCGTGTTGAGAGGGTATAAAAGGGCACAGTCAGAAGACGCGACGGACTATACAACAGCAGTCGACTCGAATCGAGTCTTCGGAACTGGAAGCTGCTGAATAATGGCAAGAAAAAAGATTCCATGTGTGATGTGAAGTTACAGTGAGACTATGATAAACCCGTTGCCAGGTTACGACTAGTGAAGACTGAGAATCCTAGTGCATGTGCGAATAGCGATAGCGTTGTTTTGCCTGTAGTCCCGAACTGTGTGAATGTATGAGCCTGAACACATTTCAGAACAGTTCATGCGCTACACACCTACAGGAGAGAGCCACTGGACGCCAGCGGCTAATGCAGGAAGGATCAACCTAGCTTACAAAGGAACGGAACTGATCGAAAGGTGAAGACCTTAATGTTGTTCACGATGACGACGAAGATAATCTCAAGAAGGGTCATGAAGACCACAGCCAGGACTTATGTTTCTTCCTTGGCACTACAGCCCCAGTGGGCCTAGGTCTACCTCCACGAACTTCTCCGTTCACTTCGGTTTTTCTAGATCTTACACATTCGGTAGGACTCCTTGGGCGGGTGATCAGCTCGTCGCAAGGCCTCTACCTGTACACAAACACAGAAAAACGCACACAAACTAAACATCCATGCCCTGAGTGGGATTCGAACCCACGATCCCGGTTTTCAAGCGAGCGAAGACAGTATATGCCTTAGACCGCTCGGCTACCGTGACCGGCAACGACGTACTTTACGAGTGCTATTTACAAAGTGCACAGTGCAGTGAATTCCTTAAAGTGTGTTTGCCTGGAGATGGCCCTGTGTGGCCGAAACATGTAGCACATTAACACAGAATGTATATAAAGTTCTATGAACATTTTAAGGAACATTTTATGGAATTAAATGTTGATTAGTGTCATCTGTAACTATTCTGATTTTGTCGCATTACAGATGGAAGCTTACACGTTGGAATATTAAGATGCACCGCATTGCACTCTAGGGTGCAGCTCTGTGACATAAACATATGCAACACAAGCAATACGCACAAAATGTTGACGCAGTCAGCGGCTGTAATATCGACACCTGACATGCTATCACCGCCATCAGAATCAATACTCAGAATAATCTAAATTGCCTAATTAATAATTCTGTACAAATATAAAAAAAACTTGCAAGAGCAGAGCAGGAAAGACGGCAGATCTCATAAAGTTCCACCCACCGCTTGAGCTTGTGGTCTGCCTCCAAAATCTTGGGGTCGTTGATGACAAGGAGCCTAGCGAAGGTGGAGACACGGCCCACCTTGTTGGTCGCCTCGCACATATAGCGCCCAGAATCTCCGTCCCTCAGTTCCTGAATGGTCAGGCTGCAGGAATGCAATCCGTCGAAGTGTGTCACGAACCTTGGGTCGTTCAGTTCCATACCGTCCCGGTACCAGTTCACTTCTGGGACTGGATCACCCCGCACCTGCAACAGTTCCTCGCAATTAGGGCCTAGTATGAGTATGTGGGCCTGTGCTGTGACGACCCTAAATTTTAATAAGCAGAAATGGCCTCCCAGCTAGGCCTTTGGAAACTAAGGATGAATTATCCGTGACAGGGTTTCGTTTATACTTCCAAGTTTTATTGCGCAAAGTTTATTGCAACAGGATATGAATGTTCTTCTGTAATTGCATGAGAAGTTCTGAAAAGAACTCATAAAGTTTACTGTTTCTTGATTGCTTCAATCTCGTGTGTGTGTGTGTATATATATATATATATATATATATATATATACAGAAGAAACAAAACTTTTACAACAAGAATTATACACCTTTGACATTTCTTTGTTCCTAATAATCATTTGACCTCAGAAATCCGCGTGATCGGCACACTGATGTTACTGATCAAACAAGGAAACACATACAAAAATAACTTCGGACTTCGACCTATATTCTTGCCTAATATTACCGTATGTCATGACGTAACAGATATCTTTTTCCTCAGAAATATCTCCCATAGTAACCATGCATTTTTTGTGCCGAAGGATTGTGACGAAAAAAATGTGAGTTCCCAAAATTTTGTGAGTTAGGAAAAGAAGAATATTTGTACTGCACTTCACTCTGAGATAGAAAGAAATGTGAAATAGTATGGAATTAATAATTAGATGCGTCTTACATGCCTGATCAAAGAGTCAGATTATAGGAAATTCAGAGATTCGCCATAGTATAATATGATGCTTTTGGCAGACTTAATCTAAATTTTTATTATAGAAATAGGAATTTCTAAACCTGCGATCATTGTGGGGACAATGCGAACATGTGCAGCGGGTAACATTAGAAACACAGGAGTCTGGTGTCTGCTGCAGGAAATGTTAGCTGGTTTCTTTGAAACCTGCTATGGAAGAGCCAGAGACTCAATAGCTGCTACGACACCATGAGAAGATTTTGGCTTCTGAGCTTTGGGCAGTTCCTAGCAGCATATGGAGTTCTACAGCGGTGTGTATTCCTTGCTATTTTGTAGAATACCGGTCAACGGAAAAAGTCCAAAAACCCAGGTAGTCTTACTTTACCTGTTTAAGAAGCAGATATTAACTACTCGCAGCCTAAACTTTATACGACCAAACGAAATGATTGTCCTGTCATTGAAATTTAGTAATCATTAGTTAATAATAATAGACGTTTCGGAAATCAAGGAACGTAAGGAAAGAGAGTTTGAGAGCCGACACCAAAATTGTGTGAGAAAATTACGTGAATGCTGTACATGGACGTTGAACCCCACTCATCTGACGTGGAGTCGAACTCCTCAAAATTATTCTGAGGCAAAAATTGTACCACCATAAAATAACATCATCAAATTCAAGATATAGGATTTTGAAGCCTCTTCCATCTCAATTCCCTTTCCACCTATTTATAGGTTCTCCCATGTCCCTTCTCCAACATACTGCCTCGAAATAAACAACAATTATTTCAACTGCCTGAAAAAGTCCTCAAGATATATTCGTAAATAAGTGAAGTGGAATTATGTTACTGATTAGTGTTAAATTTTCTGTGTCCAGTTGGAGCCGGGTGATAGAATAATTTTGACTTGTGTAGAGAAATGTGAGGTAGCAAATGCAGTGCAATTGGTTCATCCAAACAGGTGATCATTAAAACGTTCCTACTTTCCAAGACAGAAGCCTATTTCTTCTTGTCTGACAATTATAAAGATTTATCGGGCAGTTACCAGTAAACCTGCTATCAAGTCAAGTTCAGTCATATCTTTATCCCACCCGTTGACCCGTGATTGAACTGTCAAGCTCCCAACTACTGACAAGTCACTCATTCCAACAATTTCCCAGAGCCAATTAGCCGTGTATAAAACCTAGTGGGAAAATCTTTGGTAAAATTATTTTCCTTCAGCGTACAGTAAATTTTAATGGCCCCCATACAAAATAATTAGTTACATTCTTTGCACTACACGTGTTTACTTGGTATTCTGCCTTCGCGAAATTCTACGAGTAAAGTAGGGGAAGAAGCATAACGCCTTACTCTTGCCACTCTGACTCATGAATACTTGCCGAAAGCCTCAATGAACATAACTAGACTGAATATTTATATTACAGTGCCGTCAATAATGCAACCAATTTATTCCTCACAATTTTCACTTTTTACAACATGTTTCGCCCCAAACTGTCCATCATCAGGTACTTCAATTCGTCAAATTGTTAACTGCATTGAATGTCGGTCATAAATTTCACGTGTAACTGCAATGTTGACGGAACTCTAGTATAAATATTCTATGTAAAATGTTATAGAAATGCAACAGGATGCTTAAATACAATATTTAACATAACTGCAAATATATATAAAGCAGAATGAAATAAGATATTTGTGAATGGTGAATATGCAAGCATTTGGAAGGAGGCTATACTGTTTTGCTTGAAGGTATTATTATCGTTCACCATTAGCTTGAAAAGACAAGGGAAAGCCACGAGAACCGTCACACAACATCCGGCAAGATTAACAGGATTCCCCATACACAAGACTACAGCGGTACCTGGTGGATGGTGACGCACATAAAGAACCGGTACGTTGGTGCAATAAGGAATTCGCACGCCTTCGTGATATGATGAGACGGAAAGTTAAATCTGCTAACCGGCACAAAGCAAAGGGAGCTGCCAGAGACCTTAGCGCGCTCACTGCGGCATCACAATATGCTGGAATGTTGCTGAGCATGATTCCAAAGCTGTAGTGATGTCTTCATATGTTGCAGGCCGGTACTTTACAGACACACCAATGGACATTCTCGTAAAGGAATTCTGTCGTGGCAAGAAACATATAAGAACTAATTGCTGGGTTCCGAACTAACTCCTTGATACAGTTTCTTTCTCGAGGAACTCAGAGTCGCTAAGATGATAATGAAATTACAGTCTCCGAATTATATCAGGGATTCTTCCCTAGAAACAGATTAGTTTTCCGAATATTTATATGTTACAAAGCGAAGATAAGTTCCCGGAGATCGAATTTTTCGACACGCCATTTTAATTTTTGCTAGAATGATTTGAAACAAACATTATATAATTCACGTTAAAAAGAAGAAAGTAATAAAAATTCACACGTGCATATGCAAATATTTATCATTTACTAGTCGTAATATTCACGTTTGAAGAAGCCAAGGACAGAAGCCTGAATATACCTTTGCTAATTCCTCTATGAATAAAATCCACTAGAAGAGTGAGAAATATCACTCAACCCCCACTTCACCTCCTCTCGCAACCACACAATTTTCAATAGTTTTTTAATACTCAAGAGCCAGAACCTCTTCTCTAGAGAAAGACAAATATGAGCACAGGGCTCAAGCTCAGGCTCGCTTCCCACTGCGGCGGCCCGGGTTCGAGCCCGGGTCTGGTCATGTGGGATTTGTGGTGGACGAAGTGACGCTGGGGCAGGTTTTCTCCGAGTACTTCGGTTTCCCCTGCCAATCTTCATTCCACCAATTGCTCCACAATCACCCTCACCTATCATCTGGGGATAGTACAATAGGACAGTAGTGGCTGCAGTACCAAGTGAACTCAGCCTCACCCCAGTAATATATATACCGTGGAACCTCGCTTAACGAGCACCTCTCATAACGAGTAATTCGCATAACGAGCAAAACAAATTGCAAATATATATATATATAT